TAAGAGGCCGTATGTGTAGTAATCGTGATCAAAGATGATCTAATAAAATTGTGTGTTTTTTTTTTATAAACAATTCAGAGTGAGTATTTCTCTATTTCAAAACTAGATTTTAAGAAACTGTGATACAATTTGCTTAATATCAATTTAAATTTAATTTCTTTTTCATATTCTGATATTCATAATGTATCGGATTAAAAAAATTCAATATTTACAAATTTTATATCTAAGTTTTATTATAAATGTAACATTTTTATGAATAATCATTTTTAGCGCGTGCACACACACACACACACACACACACACACAACACAACACAACCACGCACGCCACGCACGCACGCACGCACGCACGCACGCACGCACGCACGCACGCACGCACGCACGCACAGATAATTAACTATCGATTGTTGCATACTCACTCAGCATTTTCTTTGTGATATATCGAAAAAGATGTTATCTTGATAGCAAATGGCATACAACAAGTGCCTAACACATTGACCACTCTATAATTATTGAATCTCACTTTAAATCCAAGTTTTTGAAGGGAACGAGCAAATCTGCGTGCTGCGATTTTTGCTTGAACTTCACTGGTGGCACCAGTGCAAGTTACTTTACCGGATGACCAAATGGATGCTGTAGTATATGGTCTCCTTAGTTTCATTGTTATCATCTAAAAAGTCATATAAATAAAAATCTCCTTATTTATAAACACAAAATATTTTATTATAAAAATTTATAAATATTAATAATTATAATTGTTTTATTATTTAATATAACATTCAATAATATTAAATATTAATAAATAAAACAAAAATATGTACTTCACGATTGAACAATTCAGGATAATTATATGTCATATATAATTAGAAATTTTTATTTAATAACTAAGACTTAGAATATTATAAATGATAATAAGCTTATAGTATATAAATATATTAATTTTCTAATTATAATCTATAATTAAACTTCAACTTTTAAAAACTATTATATAAACTATTATATAAACAATAATAAATATTTTATTATTTTGTTGTTGAAAAATATTTCTATATTGTTTTTATAATAAAAATAAATAAATGTCCTTTATATAATTGTCACATATGTATCAAGGGTATTATATCTACTGTAAACCGATATATTTAAAAATGCTAAGTCTAGAAGACACAAAATGTTTTAAAAAACAGTTGTAGATTCCTAAGCATAAGCAAATAATCATAATAGTTTTAAAGAAACGCATCATGATATTATCTTTTTAAACATTGATTTTTTTCAATATAAAGAACTTATAAGTAATATAAATAAAATCCTACTTTTACTTAAACTGTTTTTCAATGTATTTTTTTTAATATTAACTTATTGTTTAATAATAATAATAATCTTGTTATGAAGCATTAAATAGTTCAGTGCTGGAGAAATGATAAAAAAATTTACAGTTGATTTTCAAAGTTATCACTCCATATATACAATACTAAGAATTTTTAATAGAAAAATGTTTAGACAAGGTATTTAAAATATAAATTTAATTTTAACTGGGATAAAGCAATTGTTATCTCTTAAAAAACAGGATTTTCAAATAATAATAATAAATAAGTTTAACTGATTTTTCACTGAAACAAATTCAGAAACAAGATTCATATATACCTGCATCATTTATATATATATATATATATATATATATTGAAAGCTTTAGTCCAATACAAATGTACAAACATGTTATGATACAACATGTTATGATACAAGAAAAAAAATAATCATCTCTTATTGAAATATATAAATGAAATATATAAAAGATTGCATACCCCATTTTCTCTCCTGTATTCAACATTGGATCCATTGAGTGCTATTTCTCGCAGATTCAAATGACACCTTACACTAAAACTACAGACTACATTATTAATAACAATATCAAGTTCAGGAGGTTCTTCGTGAGGCTCTTCGGCATGATCTACATAAGATTGAAGTTGTCCATCAAATAATCTATTGTCTTGTTCTTCTGTACAGGTGTTAGTTTTATCCAAGTTATTAACATCCTTTACGTGATTCAAAGATTTATTTGTTAACGGTTTCATGCCATTCTCTTGAATAGCAGTTGCCATAATATTGTATACCTGTAACATAATGAAATAATATAATGAAATTGGACTTTTAGATTCTAGTAAAGCTGTAAAAATTACAGTACATTTAACATACACATTCAAATAAAAAAAAGGGGGGAAATTTATATAATTTATATAATTAAATAATAATATAAAATAGAATAAATTATTACTTTTTTATATCATATAATTAATTTTGTATTTATTAACAAAAATTATTTATAAATAAATTAAATATATTTCTCATTTAAGATAAAATTTAAAATAATTATAATACTATAAGAAGCCATTATATATTTTGTAATCTTTCTTAATTTTATAAATACCTTAATAAATTTTAAATACCTTAATTTTAAATACCTTAATAAATTTTAAATTTTAAGATAAATTTATTAAAAAATAATCTTATATATCATAAAGTTATATACATTAGACATTAAAAATATAATCTACTTTCAAATTTCATTTTTTAATAATTCATAAATTATTCATGTTTTAATATATTAGATAATTTACATATAGAATCTGTATGTAAATAGATTATTAATTTCATCTAGTCATATGATAGACATAACTAGTCATATATAAATATACAGAAGCATATAAAAGAAATATCTATTCTCAGTTATTTCTATCAGTTTGAAATAATTGCACATTGAATGATATTTAGCACAATATAGATTTCCATATAGATCTTTATTTTGAAAGTATATAAAATATAATTTAAATGACATTTAAAAAGTACTATGTCAGAACAAACTTTGCATTTAACGATAATTACCAAGAATAACAATATCCAGTTATTATCTAATTTACATAAATTTTATTTAGGTTTACTACAAATGTAATGCAAAATATAGTACAAATTATATTCTGAGTTACAACGAATGATTCACCTATCCTTAATTACTATCATAACAAAAGCAATATTTATTCAAGACGTTTTCATATAAACTTAACTAGCAAGTAATGACACACAGTCAGTTTAAGCCGGCAGAGTTATCATGTCATTCAGCAAAACAACGATCAAAATGCATCTCGCGTTGCATTCGGCAGGATAAGGAATAAATCGCAGAAAACACAGAGCGGATGCTGGGGACAGTTTTGTGCTCGCATGTATGTGCACGTGGGAGAAAAGATTCATTCGCACGTCACAAAATGGGAAATATAAAATTACGGAATCGCGAAGTCGCTAACGCGATGAGTGAATCGCGTTGTAAAGCAGCGGGAAACGACGAACGGTGCCGAGAGGCATTCGCTTCAACAACCGACGTTCAACAACCTCCGAGAACGTTCCGCGAGTGAGACTGATATGAGTACTCGCGCGGAGAAAGGAAGGCGGAAGCAGGAAGATGGGCGACTTACGATTACGCTGTGCTGAGCAGCCGTAACACGTCGCACATAAATTAGAAGTAACGTCTTTGTTGACAAGTATCAATGGAACGCAAAATTGGCTCAATAACAACTATAACCATTGTTCCCAATCATATTCGCTAGACTGGCGACTACTGTCGACTCAGGACTCAGGACTCAAGCCTCCAAGCGGCCAACTGATCGCAGAATCACCTACGATACAAAGATAGCTAAGTCGCAACCGCGAGTGAAATTATAATGCAGGATTCACACTGCACCCGTACAATGATTCGACATTCGATAGATTTCATTTTTAAAGTTTCTAGGCTACATACCAAAACGTCCTTTCCGAGGAAAATTTTATATAAATATAGTAAAACTTATAGACGTACAATGAGGAACATAAATGAGGTCTTTTTTCGTGTAGCTAGAAGTAGATGAGCGCGCCATCCATAGATTATCATTACACCTACTTTTCAAGGATCAGCGTCAAAGACTGAACGCATCTCAGTTTCTGCATATACATTGCTCGCACGTAAAAGACTTTAATACAATTATGCAATTATTATTTACATACAGAGGCAGTATTTGAAATACATATATTTGAAATACGTATTTAAATATTTATGTATTTTGTATGTAATCCTTTTTTAAGTGTATTTTGTATTTAAATACTTTTTTAAGAGTATTTTGTATTTTGAATTTTATTTATACATTTAAATTTTGTAAAACGATCAACCAAACAACATTATGTCTACTGTCTTTGCAATAATTGAATTCGTCGAAATTATTATATATGAAGATAAGTCTGTTGGTTTCAATCAATCATGGCTCGAAAAGAAATACATTTTGAAAAGAATATCGATGGAATATCGAACATTGGCAGTCTGCCAATGTTGCATCATGCATAGAATGAGTACTCCGTGGTAGTGCATCCGGCCTTAGTGATCGCAAAACAATCATTTATTTACATATTCGCACCACCACAGCGAATTAGCGTAATATTAGATTCGTCGTACAACAAATTTTTTAAGCGTATTGATTGGCTGCAGGATAGAGCAATTCTCCAGTTTTTAGAAACTTTTTTATCCTGCAGCCAATCAACACGCTTAAAAACATTTGTCATACGACATATGTATAGTATCCTAGAGTCTATCCAGACAAACGTGCATAGCAGCATAACCATATGCATAAGAAAAATTATCCAATCGCATTTTAGATATGTCTTTATGATAGAAATACAATTGGGTAATTTTCCTTATGCATATGGTTATGTTGTTACAAGTTTATCAGGATAGAACCTTACTTGAGTTTTTTTTACGCAGATCTGTCGGTGGTTTGATTTTTTTTATAGACTACCATCGACTATCCCGAGATGTGTGCATAAATAAATTCGATATCATGTATAGCCTATATCAGACTAAAGATTAAGATTGAGAATTTGAAATTTGATTAATCTAAACAAAGTTCACCAAACTTGAGATTGATTTTCTTTTTTCATTGGTTAAATTCTAATCTAATCTCAATCTCTAGTCTGATAAGTGTAATGATAAGGGCTTAAGTGTAATGATGAAACAATAGTGTAAGTGAAATGATGAGGCAATAGTGAAAGTGTAATGAAACATTTCTGTATAAACTAAAACCGCGTCGGTAAATATAATTAATATGTTAACCAAAGATGAGCAGTATTTGAAATACGTAAATACATTTTGTATTTTGTATTTAAATACTTTTTTTTGAGTATTTTGTATTTTGTATTTAAATACAATATTTAATGTATTTTGCTCATCTCTGTTTACATACAATATAAGAATTATATTTTAATTAAAATATAATAATTATATTTTAATTATAATTATTATAATATACATCTGTATTATATATTATTCTCCTATTATTATTCCAATAAACACAAACTGTAAAAATAATATTTCAAACATTAACGTATAATCTAAAATTTTTTATATCAAATTTTTTATTGATAAATGTTTGAAATATTACTTTTATAGTTTGTGTGTAACCTATAATATAAATATGAGAAGGAGGAATAATAACATGAGAATAATAATACAGATGTAGAATGATAATTATAATTAAAAATGTAATTATTATACTATATGTAAATGATAATTGCATGAATTATATTGAATATAAATGATAATTCCATAAATAATTGTATTAAGGGTTGGCAGGAGAGACTATGGAGACTTCTATCGGAGATAATTTCTTTTCACCCAAATTACGGCAAAAATGCTGCGAGAAAAGCTATATGGTTATGATATTTATAATCAGAATATTTGCCTGACGAAAGTTACAGAACGATTTTTGTAAGAAAATGTGTGAAAATAAATAATTTATTTATGCATAAATAGATTTGCACTATAAGACAATAAAGTGCAAATATTTTCATCTATTGTAAATTTTTTTTTAAGAACCAAATTGCAAAATCTGGTTCTGTAGCAAGAGTCATAATTTTATAAAAAATACATAAAAAAAGACTCATGGCAGAATATTGCTTCTACAAGATAATATATGGGTGTAGTCAAATATATATCTGCACTGTAAATAAGGAGTAGATAGTTATATTTATTTTAATTATTTAAGAGCTAAATTGTAAAATTTAGGCTCTGTAGGTAGCTTCGTAATTGTAAAAGAAATTATCTTAACAAAGTTTCATAAGTGTCGGTTTACAATAAGTATTTAATCTTTAAGTCGTAAGAAATTGACCAATCATAGTCGATTATTCTTTTCATATTCGATTATAATTGGTCAATTTTTTACTTCTTAAAGCTTAAATCACGTATTGTGGACTAACGAAACATCGTTTCTATAAGTGTCGGTCCACAATAAGTATTTAATCTTTAAGCCGTAAGAAATTGACTAATCATAATCGAGTATTTTTTTCATATTCGATTATAATTGGTCAATTTCTTACTTCTTAAAGCTTAAATCATCTATTGTGGACCGACACTAAGAACAAAATATAATTGAGTACAGATACATATCTGCACAAATAAGAAGTAAATAATCATTTTAGACCAAGTCAGAGTTAGCTCGTCACTCCTGCCGATCCTTAAGGCCATTGCACGTGAAAAAATTTTAATCGTAAGATCATAAGCAAATTGACTAATCAGAATCAATTATTCTCCTTACAGTCTAAAAATAATCGATTGTAGTTGGTCAATTCGCTTACGACTTTACTTTATCATTAAAATTTTTTCACAATGGCTTTTAAAGTCTTTACGTATGAACAATGTATATGCAAAAACTAAGATGCGTTCGATCTTTGACACTGGTCCTCGGAAAGTAAGTGCAACGACAATCTACAGATGACGCGCTCATCTATTCCTAGCTAGAGACCCTTTAGTAAGAGAGTTTCTGGAAGTCTCAGAAACTCGATTTTGAAGCGTTTTGATTGATCCGCCATTTTTTTCTAATTTAAGAGAGGGTAGCTTCAGCGCAAGCATATGAAATGATGAAACATACATAAAAAAGAGAACTTACGAAACATATCGGTTCGAATATTATTCAGACAAATTCTATTTTTCGTAGATTATGACACAATTCTTTTTCTTTAATAAATTCTTAATAAAATTATTTTTAGATTTGCAACGTATATATGTCTTCATAAAAATCGAATGCTGAAAGGTAGTGATTGATTACTCAATTTGAATATTAAAAGCAATATTATTTAGTACTTTTAATATTCAAAATAAATAATTTCTAGTATTATATTGGCCAGTAATTACATTTTTATAATAGTGATGTAACATGTAACCAATGATAAGTGCAAAATGATATTTTCACTATTGGATGAACAAGGAAGAAATTAAATGAACAAAATTTAACAGTTTATTTTAATTTATTTTATTACATTATGCATTGCCATTGACTTACTGTCATAATATTTATATTTAATAAATTTTTTTTATTAGATATCCTTAATCTATAAACTGCAAGTCTGTTTGCTATTTTTGTATTTAAATTATGACATTACAAAATGTGACTATTACTAAAATATTAAGAAACTTATTAATTAAAAACTTCTTATTATTGCAAATAGATTTTTGGTATTTTCTGAATATATATTCCAGTTTTTTAAATGTTTCGAATGTTTGATTATTAACAAAAAATAAAGTGTTATCTTTGTAACTTCTTAATCGTACTAATTTTGCATGTCGTGAAAAATTTCAATTTATAGACTCTACACTATTAATACATTGCTCACAAAATTGTTTTTTTTTTTAATACTCGTTATTATGTAACAGCGATAAAATGCTATTTTCTATATAATTTAATTCTTCTATTTTTTGAGATACGTATGACATATCAACATTTGATTGAGTAGGAAATTCCGAGAATAGTTTACAATCCTGAGAATGATTACAATATTTTAAAGATTTATGTTCGGCAATTACATCCAAAAAATATTGTAGAATATATAATTTTTTCTTACCTTTTTCTTTTTATAATAAAAATAAAAGAAAAAATGCCGAAAACGAGCTCAACGATCGCTAGGTGCTATGATCGATATCACGTGACATTAATACATCATTAGAGAAAAAATGATTGATTATTAATCTAACGGACCAATCAAAACGTTTCAAAATCGAGATATTGAAAAGATATGTGACCCTACTCCTACCTAGAGACCTTTTAGTAAAAGTCTAGCCATCACATAGGGTGCTTTCCAACAACGTACACAAGCGATACTGTGTAACACTTAGTGTACAACCCAGTACTTTCTAACTATGCTACGAGTCGACACAATCGTACACACTAAAATGCTGTATACGTTGTTTTGTATCACTTCATGGATACCAACATTTTTGCATTTGGTATCACTGAAGCGGATATCATTTTCTATATAAAAATTATTTAACTGATTAATAAAATTAAATAATTTTAAATAAAGTAAAATTGTAAACTTACCACCGACAATATATAAAATCATTAACATCGATGATCTTATGGGAGTTAGTATAACTGAAAAAATTCGTTAGTATAACTGAAAAAATTTAAATGATTGTCCTGCACTCGGATAGTGAAATAAAAAAGCTAAAGAGTTTCAGCTACAAATCGATATTATGTAATACTGTTTTTTTTCCAGTGTAAGAAAAAAAGATAAACTGTGAACTAGTACAACCAGTTCAGCCAAAAAGAACAGATTTACTATGTCACACAATGTATCACTGTGTTCTGTAGCTGTAGGTCTATTCTCTAACTTGTTAACGACAGTGTTGTATCATTACGTTGTCGTTGCGTAGGTATAATATGTGGAAAAAAAGCTGCATAATGACATCACTAGCTAGTGAAACTGTCGTTAAGAAATTAGAGAATAAACCTACTGGGAAGCATCCAATAAGTGCATTTGTTTACGCAGTGTTTTGTGGGA